AGGCCCAAAACGTCAGCCTTCCTGTTCCTATGATGCTGCTTGGCCTGCTGTGTTCATCCAGCTCTACACCTTGTTATCTCACCTACTCACCAATTCAGGTTCTGCCAAAGCCACTCACTGATGTAAGCAGACATGGACTCAACGGCTTAGTGACAAATAACAGGTGGTAGTATCTGTCCCCAAAATTCAAGATCAAAATTGTCTAAGGATAGCACTGAGGGCCAATGTGGGTCAAAGGGAAAACAGTGCATTCTATAGAATAATACCTAATACAAAGAGGACTGTCATAGTTATCAGATGTGAATCATCAAAAGTCCAGGGCATCACTGCTGACGTTCCTCCTGAGTGCATGCTTCCCACCATTTTCAGCTGTTATATTAATGACCTTTCTTTCATCAAAAGCTTAGCAATCAAGCTGTTCGCTGACAATTCCACGACATTCAGCTCAATTCTTTTTTTAATAACCACCACCAGAGTATAACAGGACTTGAGCAACAGCCAGGCTTGGCCGACACATGGCAGGGATTGCACTACAAAGATGGCAGGTAATGTCCATCATATTAAAAGAAAACTCTCCATTGTCAAACTCCTGCCACTCTCCTTGGAGAGTACAACTAACCAGAAGTTTAATTGGATTATATAAATAATAATGTGCATAAGTGCTGAAATGAAACAAGATGCAGCGAACAAAATCAGTAAGTGCGTCAGTCTTAAAGATAAAGAAAACAGGCCAACACACTAAGTACCTAACTATCTGCAAGAGCTTAAACAAAAACAAAGTTGCTGGAAAAGCTCAGCAGGTCTGGCAGCATCTGTGAAGGAGAAAACAAGAGTTAATGTTTCAGGTCCGGTGACTCTTCCTCAGAACTTAACAGTTTCGGGTAACCGGACCCGAAACGTTAACTCTGTTTTCTCCTTCACAGATGCTGCCAGACCTGCTGAGCTTTTCCAGCAACTTTGTTTTTGTTCCTGATTTACAGCATCCGCAGTTATTTTGTTTTTTATCTGCAAGAGCCTGGTTTTTTTGGACACATCAAACTCCTTCCCTGTTCTCTCCAATGTCAACAGATGTATTTCACTTTAGAAGTGACTCTGACAATAGAAAACAGAACAGTTAAGCTAATTTTTGAATTAACGAAATACAACATTTGGAATAAAACGGAAAACAAAAATGCTGGAGATCATTGCTTCAAGTCAGCTCTGATGAAGTGTCACATAGACTCAAAACATTAGCTTGCTTTCTCTCCATGGATGCTGCCTGACTCACTGCGATCTCCAGAACTTTTTGTTTTCAGTACAGATTCCAGCATCTGCAGCAATTTGTTTCTACATTCGGAATAAAAAGCTACAGAATGTCCAGGTGAAAATGAGATACATAAATGCCAGAGTAGGAATGAGACAGAAAATTAAAATAGGAGATAGGAGAGCAGAAAAACATTGAACATGAGGTAGTAATATATAGTTCAAATTACAGGAATTCAGTTAAACAATAGATATCAGTGCAGAACATTTAACAGCCTCTGTGAAAATGCTATATTTATATATGGTATGGCAACATTAAAAATTCAGTAACCAACAAAAAGACATTCTGTATGAAATATATAAGGAAGTGATCGTGCGATATCATACCAGCAGTGGTGTTTAACCCATGAAATCATATCAAAAAGTTACAGAATTATGAGCGATATTAAACTTTAGTAAGGCTTTATTTGGAACACTAAGTTTAGTTTTAGGCTGCATGTTGAATGGTCAATATTCAGGTAATGATACACATTCAGCACAGATTTATTATGATACTGCCTTGTATGATGAAATAAGAAGAATTGAAAAACCTCGAGTGTTTTCATCAGAAGAGATAATTAAGAGAGGTGTTTAGCAAAATTCGGCAGGAGCTGGGGAATGTGGATTGGGAGCAGCTGTTTGAAGGTAAATCCACATTTGATATGTGGGGGGCTTTTAAAGAGAGGTTGATTAGAGTGCAGGACAGACATGTCCCTGTGAAAATGAGGGATAGAAAGGGCAAGATTAGGAAACCATGGATGACAGGTGAAATTGAGAGACTAACAAAGAGGAAAAAGGAAGCATACATAAGGTCTAGGTGACTGAAAACGGACAAAGCTTTGGAAGAATATCGGGAAAGTAGGACCAATCTGAAACAAGGAATTAAGAGAGCTAAACGGGGTCATGAAATCTCT